TCAAAGGGGTGGGGGCGGGGCTAGGGGTGCTGGCAAGAGGGGGTGTCTGGCCAGGCGGGGCAGCCGGTGGGGCAGCGGGGAGCCCGTGTAGCCGTGGCCCAGGGGGGTGCACGGGGCTGGGGTGGCTGTGCATTGCCTGAGCCAGGGGAGCCCTTGGGGTGAGGGAGGTCTAGGGGGTCAGGCCCCAGGGACACACTGGGGGAGCAGTCAGAGCTGGGAGCATCTGCGTGCAGGTCTGGGCCACGGCCCAGGGCCGGGCGCCGGCGAGGAGGATGCGGGAGGTCTGCCGCATCTGCGCCCGGGAGCTGTGCGGCAACCAGAGGCGCTGGATCTTCCACCCGGCCTCCAAGCTCAACCTGCAGGTGCTGCTGTCCCACGTGCTGGGCAAGGAGCTGTGCCGCGATGGCAAGGCTGAGTTTGCCTGCAGCAAGTGCGCCTTCATGCTGGACCGAGTCTACCGTTTCGACACGGTCATTGCCCGCATTGAGGCGCTCTCCATCGAGCGCCTGCAGAAACTGCTGCTGGAGAAGGACCGCCTCAAGTTCTGCATTGCCAGCCTGTACCGGAGGAACAATGGCGAAGAGCTGAGTCCTGATGACAAAGTGGGGGACGGCACTGTGGACCTCTCAAGCCTGCCTGATGTCCGATATACGGCCCTTCTGCAGGAGGACTTTGTCTATTCCGGGTTCGAGTGCTGGATGGAGCACGAGGAGCAGGCCTCAGAGTCGCACAGCTGCCATGCTTCGGAGAGCGGGGCTAGCCGGCCAAGGCGATGCCGGGGCTGTGCTGCTCTGCGTGTTGCGGATTCTGACTACGAAGCCATTTGTAAAATCCCGCGAAAGGTGGCCAGGAGCATCTCTTGCGGGCCTTCTAGCAGGTGGTCTGCAAGCATGTGCAATGAAGAGCCACCCGTAGGTGAGCTTGGAGCCACTGAATCACCTAATGCCAAAGTACCTGTGGATGGAGAGAGCATGGAGGAAGGGACTCCTGGGTCCTCCATTGAATCCTTGGACACGACTGTGGAGGTCGGTTCTCTGCAGCAGAAGGAGGAGGAAGTGGACAAAGGTGGAAAAGGCAGTGGGAAGTGCGACTATTGCTCTGATGATCGCACCACTCCAAACTCTTCATTGAATGGTAATAGGTTGGAGCTAGCTCTTAGCCTGATCAAAACCTGTGACTACAAGCCTGTTCAGAGTCCCAAAGGCAGTAGGTTACCTGTTCTAGTGAAATCCAAGCTTAGCCATGACACGATGGATGGAAGTCCTCACGCTGGTTTGATGATGACTGGTTCTGGATTCCTGAATGCAGATGTGAAATCCTTTTCCCGACCTCCTCTGGGCTTTCCCTTGGAGATGTCAGACCTGCAGGAGTTGTGGGAAGATCTCTGTGAGGAATATATGCCGCTTCAGGTTCAGGTACAGATTGATGAGCAACACTGCAATTTAACAGAGGTCCTGCCATCTCGGCTGAGAGTCCAATCTGGATTCAGCTGTACTGGGATAATACAGATAGCCAGTCCTATCTGAGCAAAAGGCTAGGAATGGGTAGCTAGGCACCCAACCACTGTCCTTGTATACACCCCATCCCTTTTCTGTGACATTTCCATAGTATTCTTTTCCTGCTGTGTTTGAGAAATGAGCCCTCCATAGGTTTTTAGCCTCTTGCCTCTTAAGTTTCCCTGAATCAAGGATACCAGCAGGTTTGGCTGATATTTCCCTTTTTGTTTCTTGTTTCCAGCCAAGCAAACACCAGTTTAATTTCTCCTCATTACTTTCCAAGGAGTAAGTTTTGAATCTGTTAGTTCTGGGTTGCTGAAGGGTGTAGTTTAAGCTGCCAGATGCTTCTTTAATAGCAGTTCAGTTTTCTTTTGGCCTCTGTAAGTTTTAAAGTTATAATTTGTATCTGTTCTGGGGTGGTGGGAACTGCTTTTTTTTGCAGGCAGAGCTCCAAAATCTAATGTTCTTTGTCTCTCCCCAGTTCTTCCAACTTGGTCAGCCCTCAGGAATACTGTTATGCTGTTGGCAGTGAGGGTGTTGTCTTTATGAATAGATTTGCTCCAGTGGGTGACTTAAAGCTAGCATTCTTGGTAACTGATCCTTTAAAAAAATTTAACAATCAGTAGCAGTTACTGCTGAGAGCCTGTGAGCTTTTGCAGGAACTTCAAGCATCTTAATCATCTGCAAAGATTCCAGGTGACACTTACCTTTGGATTTTCACTGCTTTTTTGCCTGGCTTTAAAATTCTTGTTAATACATGATCACAGGTCTGCACCTGTATTTCTTTTTTCACTTCTCGTATCATCCATTAAAGTCTCATGTCAGCTTTAATTCAGCAATATTCATGTCAGTCTAATTGCCTTGGCATTAGCAGGCTTAGTGCTGTCTAATTTTCCAGGTAGCCTCAGGGATTAGAAAGATACTTGTTTACTACAGAAGCAACTGTAGATCTATTGGGTGATTGCTCTCCATATGCAGCGAGTTGTGCTCATTCTTTTCCAAGCTCTGGCTTTTTCCAGGGGTGTGTACTTTTTCCACAACAGCTTTTAGCATGAAAACTTGCTATGGAGAAAGCCAGACTGACAGGAGCTGACAAATTCCAAAGCCTAGTCTGATGATCCATTTGTCATCAGTAATTGAAGATTTGCTGACACTACCCAGGGAACCTTGAAAAATGAAGGGAAAATGCTGTCATTTCTGTGTACCTTGTTGCCTGTTTTTTTACCATTACAGACTGATATACCAAAATAGGATCTTTCTTACTGCACAGCTTTTACACCATTAGTTTGTATGGTGATTACATGACATTTCAGTTGCATCACACATCTTAGCATCTTCATTTCATCTCAGAATTACTTACAAAGGGTTTCTTCAAACCCCAGCCTCTGTCATATATTTGTCCTTATGGTGAATCTTATGCTGAGTTTTTCATTTCCTGTTTCTTACCATGGCAACAAACCCAACACAGAATGATGTCTTCAGTGCTAAATCTGGCATAAATCGAAAGTACTCACTCCTCTTTAGCAGAAGGATTGGAGAGTCAGAGTTGCCAGTAAATAGTTCTCATATAAATATTTTCTTTATTTTTTTTCTCTGCCCTAGCCTAAGTGCCACTGCATTAGAGCCAAATATTGCCCTCTCTCCACTAATGTGATTGGATTTGCCAGTTGAAGGTATTACAGGGTTCTAAGACAAGACACCACTATTTTCTTGGCTGAAACTTCAGTGCTCTCTCATATTCACTGAATAAATTAAGATGATGCAAAGCATTGTGATCTCTTGAGCATGTGACCTGTTAGGCCTTGCTGGTGCCAGCTCTTTTCTTAAAAAGCCATCTCTTTCCCTTACAGCTCCAGAGATGGTAGCAATTATGGTAGTGCCAGCATAGACTAGCTACTGTTGCTTTACTAGCAACTTTGGGGAAACTAGCACTCTGCAAGTATAGAAGCATCCTAGTAATGGATTCAGGGGCCAGCCTTTGGTAACAGCCATTGTTGCTGTCACTCTTGGAGCTACACAGGTGTGAGTTTGGGGATGGGAGAATTTTAGGCAGTGTAAGAGAATCTCTGGAGAACAATGATCCTGTTCAAGTAAAATGTCCCATGTAATAAAGAGTTGATGTTGTTAGATCCTGAGTCCCAGGCCTTGGCCTCACCTCAGTCTTTATTGCGTAATGAAATTAGAAAGACTTTAATTTTTTAAACACTGAATTCAGAAGGTGAAAAAAAATGTTTTTTGACTTCTTTGCAGCAGCTAAGTTCTAGAAAATAGTTACAGGTTTCCCCAGATGTTCCTCATCTTTGCACAAACCTGCCAGGCAAGATGATTCTGTTAATACAGCTGAAATGCTGGTGGCTGCCCATGGCATGTGTGCAGAAAGCCTGTTCCGGTTACTTATAACATAATATTGCTCTTGCCTACCCTCTCAAGCCAGCAATGATTCCTGCCTTTTCTGAAACCTAGGTCCAAACCAAGTTTCATACGTCGGCTACAATAAGGTGTATTGCATCTTTATTGCAGGGCTTTGTATAGCAGACTTTTACAAGCTACAACAGCAGAAGGCTGCAATACCATGAAGATAGCTATTGATTCTTGAGTCTCTGCCAATTAACGATAGCTGTGATACATGGAAGAGCTCATTTTCAATTGTCTGGCTGCAGTTTTTAGGGCTAGTTATAAGTTCTTATTCAGATACAGAAATCTCTGCATTACATATCTGGTCATGCTGATAGCCTTTAGAGTATGAGTCTGTGGTTGTCAGCGCTGCCTGGAGGATCCTTCCCTTCTTTCTTGTTCTTCAACCCCCCAACATGGCTGATACTTTTTGATGCCCTGGATGCATGGCCCTCCAGAGGTTATCCTCATTACCTGGTAACCAAATAGATGTTGTGGGACTGAGCATCATAAGATATTATTAGGTTGGAGATGGTAGAGAACATGGTCTCTGCCAGTCTTGCATCCTCTATAGTGAGAAGATGGTGCGTGCAGTTATATTTTGGAACATAAAGACTGTGGTTCCATTGCAGTTGTACAGCAAATGGCAGAGAGGTGCTTTCCCTGCTCTGAAGAATTTGCAGGTGAAGCTAACAAATGATAGAGTTTGGAGGGAAAGAGGGGAAAAAAGGGTGCCTAAGCAAATGGTGAGGGTAGTGCTGGAAACAGTTGGATCAGGGAGTGCCCTTCTTCTGGACACAGATGGAGTGGAAGAAAGGCAACTAACAGGAGAGAATGAGGAGTCCTTGCTGAGCAGCAGAAGAGTTAGAGGATGGAGGGGAAGAAAGGAAAGTGAGGACAGGAAACATTGTGGGGAAGGAGTAGGAGGGGATTGGAATAAAAAAAAAAAAAGCAGAGAAAGCATCCTACATCTCAAGTGCTGCAGAATGTTGCAGGGCTGCAACCTGCCTTGCTGCTGCTGGAGAAAATTGCCTGGGGAAAGAAGAGTTGGTGAATGAATGTGACAGGGCTAATTGGAGCTAGTTACCATCTCCTATGCTTAGTACTGCTTGGAGCTGGCTCTCTGTGCATCTTGCACCTGCTTCGAAAAGGTTATCTGAGACGCTCAAATCTTTATTGCACCCACACCAGGAAGGTGAGGGAAGGGGGAAGCTAGGCAATGGTTTATATTTCCTTTGGTTGTTCTTGAACCCCAGATTTTCTCATTCTTGTTAATGACACTAAAAAGAGCATTTCCCACTTACCCTGCCTTTGTCAGGAATGACCTCTGTCCCAAGAAGCTCACAGGCTTAGCTCGGCATTGGGCAGTGAGCCAATAGGGAGGGACGATGGGAAAGCAGAGTGTCAATAAAATTATTGTACCATCACCCAGTGGAGGCCTGCATAGAGCATATCACCCTAAGGAAGGGAGTGGTTTTGTTTTCTAAGTAAATGTATGTCTGTCTTGGGTTCTCAGGCATTGTAGTAGAAGCTAGGTGGGACCTGAATGAGAAATAATTCTCTCTGCATAGTGTGGAGGAAGGCTTAAAGATATTTGTGGGTAAAGTATAGGGGTATTGAAGTTGGCATCACTGATAGAGAAAAAGTTGTAGGAGCACCACAGATGTCATCATGGTGGGGAATTTGTTTAGGTCATGTCTTGAGGAAGGTGCATCATAATTGAAGGGGATGTGGTGTGTGTTGGGAGGCAACAGGCAGGAAAGGTCTGAACAGGAGTGTTCTTTTCAGGGCAGATGGAAAAGGTCACATTATGGGCTGAGGTGAAGGAAATGTGGCAGGTTTTAGACACTGCCTGAGGTCAGGATGAGAGAGGAGTCATGGTTAACAGGGCTGAGTAATGCGAGTCACCAGCTTCAAGGGGATGGTTAAAGTGAAAGGATCAGATGAGATCACCTAATGAGAGGTGTAAAGAGAGGACAGGAGTGAATAAAAAACAGAGCCTTAGGGAAGAGAGAAAACTTGTTCAGAAGACTAGGGAAGGAGCAGCCAGAAATAAGCATGAAAGAACTCACAGAAGGGTAGAGCTGCAGGCTGAAAGATTGAGAGGCAGGTCTAATCCCTGAATTGGTTTTTCTTACATCCCTGCTGCAAGGTCCAGAGTTTGAGGAGAAATCAAAGGAGGATTTGATCCATTTTTTTTCTCATGTCTTTCTTTCTCTCTTAGAATCTGCATGAGGACCATCAGCAGCTGACTCAGTGTGAGCCTGCAGCCACAGAGCATGTATCCAGGTCACATGTTGTGGAGCTGCAGGACAGAATCCAGCAATTCGATGCCACCAACAAGGTATCTTTTTCACCACCAGCAAATTCAGCTCTGTTAGGGTGCTTGTTTACCTTAATTAGCAGAGGGAAGCACTTTTTAGCCTGGCTGTGAAGGTTGATACCAGCACCTTAATCTTGGCAGTTTCTAGGTGTGTGTAGTGACCTTGCTCTTGAAGGTGGTGCTGTGTGCCTTTTCTGCCAGGATAGGATGTGCTTCCCTTTCTTGTTGACATACTATCTTACAGTGTCCTTCTGTATCCTATTCCCAAAGCAGTGTTCGAAGGGACTTCCCTTCTGCCTCTATGGAGTCATTGGAGGAAAGTCATCCATGCGTCTAGCTCTGCCAGTCTCTGTACAGTTCTTTGGCCTCACCAAAGGAAGGTGCATTATAGCCCACTATTTCACCCTTGTGTGGATTTAAAGGTCATGAATTTGATAATTATTCTGCACAGGTTGCCTGGGGGCACATTCAGCTTAATGCACATTGTCAGGGATTGATGGATGTACTTAAGGATGTTGCTGGGCTCTACCTTAACTCTGACCATTAAGGAAAAGCACTTCTCAGTGTGGATGCCTCCATGCAGACTTCTGCTTAATGTGTGACAGCCTTCATAAGCAAACAGGATGTTACAGTATGCTAAGAAAAGAATAGAAAAAATGTCTTTATATAAATCACTGGGCTGCCACAACTTGGTTTGGGCCACTCCCTTCCAGAAAAGATAACCAAGAAATAGAAAAAGTCCAGAGAGCAGTAGTGAAAATGAGTAGAGGCTTGAGATTAAACAGAGAGAGACAGTTTTAGCAAAAAGAAAAGTTAGATAGGGAGTAATGTGACAGGGATATACAATACTGAACTAGAAAAGCATTTGAGAGCACTTACACCATTAAGGGCGTACCGTGTACATGCTGCTGTAAATATTTGCCTTCTCTTGTAGTAAAAGAACAAGATGGTAAAAGGCAATGTATTTAAAAATGACAAAAAACCCAGAATTACTATGAAACATGCATTTCATCTGTGGAAGATCTCAGCAGGATGAGAAACAAGGAAGTCTTTGTTGTTTAATGGGAGATAATATGCTGGTATTCTAGTGAGGATGAAAATGGCTGTTTTAAGCCATAAGTTGAGTAGAGAAACTAGATAGAGGCTTTCTCCAACCCCTCCAGCCATGCTGTTGCTAAACTTCCATTATGCAGATTTTACAGTATTAAAGCCAGTGTTTCAGTGTTGAATGCTGGGCTGGATGAAACACTGATCTGACTGAATGTGGCATTACCTAAGTCCAGGCAATTGCTACAAGGCAGAATGCCTGGATGGAAGCACTGGAAGACTATGAATAGAGGGTCTTAATATGCTGTTTGTACTAGGGGAGGAGATGACGGAAGGAAAATAAATGATCTTTGGGCTCTGTGGTTTCTAATTTGGAGATTCCAGACTGGTTTTATGTTGAGGTCTTTGGGAGTGGTACAGACTGGAGCCTTTTCCCCTCCATTGTAAGAGACTGAAAATTCTTTGGGCAGATGGGTATAAGAGACTTTGCCTAACAAAGTAAGTAAGGTCTTTTGTGGAGGAGGGGTAAGATGGTGTGATTCAGGGGCTCTGAGGCAAGGTTCGGAGCCTCACTTGTAGACTGGATACTGGGGGGGCTGGAAGTACTATGGAAGCAAATGGGCATAGCCTCAGTGAGAAGGCAAAGCCTGTCATTCCTTTGTGGCAATTGTCTCCACACAACTTGGGAAAAGGGAAACGTAGCAGTCGTGACATGATCAGCATCTGGGCTGCTCGGACTCCATAACGGATTCTTAGGAGTGTTTTAGATAAAGCCTCGTGCTTGCTAACCAGGCCATTATCTTGTACATGTTCAGTTGCTTCAGGAAAAGCTGAACGAGTTGAATTTTGAACTAAAATCTGTCCAAGAAACGTCCCGGAAACAAGATCGCACAATCCAGAGTCTGAATGAGACCCTTAAGAGCAAAGATTGTGAGGTAACTAAGAACACGAGGGAGGGCAGAGGGGGAGGGCATGTATTGTGGCCTGGCAGGGGAAGTGCACTTGCAATGTGGGTGTGTGCATATGCATGCCTTAACTGTTTTAGACAGTATTTGAAGAAGGAGCCCTTCAGCTGCCTCTACACACCTGTAATCTCACAGACTTCTCCCGTGCCTTGTTTCTGGCAAAGCGCTTGCACTAGTTTCCTATGGAGGGAACCCATGCCCAAGATTCCTGCAGGTAGCATGGCTTATGCTTGGCTTCCTAAAGGTTGAGCATCCTATCCTTTTTCTTGCAGACAGAAGAACTGTATCACATGATTGAAGGGCAGAATGAGACGATGGCCAAACTACGAGACATGCTACATAGGAGCCAGCTTGGACATTTACAGGTACATCTCTTTGTCCCCAGGAGTGATAGATGTGGGTGAGAAACCTTGGGCTTGACTCTGTGGGGCTCCTTTGTTCTAAACCAGAGGTGCTCAACCCCTGGCCTGCAGTGGCTCCTTGCAGGTCTGGAAATTTGGCAACTGTGAGGCAGTGCTGCTGCTCCCCTGTTGCCAATTTTCTGGATCCATGGGAAGCCCCAGGCTCTGCACACTGAATGGGATGCCTGATCCCAGTGCACAGGGCTGGATGAAGGCAATGCCAGGCTCCTGGGACCCAGTCCTGCTGTGCAGGTAGTGGAAGGGGGTCATGCCAGGCCCCTGGGACCCAATCCCAATACATGCAGGGCAGGGCAGAGGGGTGACACCAGGGCTCAATCCTGGTATTCAGGGCAGGGGAGGCGGTGGTGCCAGGCCCCTGGGACCCAATCCTAGTGTGCAAGGTAGGGAGGGGGCGGTGGTGGGCCCCAGGCCCTGTTCCAGCTTGCTGACTTGCCCCACATCACTCATAAGGCCGTCAGGGCCAAAAGGTTGAGTGTCACTCTTCTGAACAATTCTGGTGAGCTCAGTCATATGCACTCTCAGGTTTGTGGTTTCCCTCCTTCTTGTTAGATCTCGGAAAATCCATCCCCTGCCCAGCAGCAGCAGGTGGCACTGCTGGAGCTGCAGAACACACTCTTCTGCACCCAGCTGGAGGTACAGAAGGGGAAGAGAGCTCAGCGGCAGAAAGAACATCAGCTGGCTGAAGCCAGGAGGGCTCTTCAGCTGCTAGAGACTGCTGTGCAGGAGGAGCAGCAGCAGCAGGAGGCAGCGTGGAAACACAATCAGGTTGGCCTTATGGCAACTGCTATATTTGTGCTGAGGCCCCTCACATGAATGTGATCCTGTGTTTTGAGTACATGGGGGAAGCAAAGAGCAGATCTTAAAGCTCTGAAAAGCTAAATGCCTTACACATGCTCTTTACTGTACCTCCTATTAGTCCAAACAGCTTGCAATTGAAGCTAAATATACACAGCCAGGGAAGATGCTTAGTAGTAGTGTGGATGAGTTGTGTTGCTTACTGGCAAACTCTTGGCTGGTGCAGAGACCCCTGTGCTTGTTTGTAGTGTGAGCTGTGGCTCAACTGATTACCAGCCACTGACCTGAAAACATGCACCTGTGGCCAGAACAAGGAGTTTAAAAAAAGATGTACCTAAATGCAGGAGAAATTGCATCAGATTTAAAGTCACATAGTCACTTGTGACATGCTGATTTAAAACATTTCATTGAGCAGTTGCACATTTGGACTTTCTCCCCTAAATGCACATCTTGTGCTGCGTGCCACTTTCCCAATTCAAACTCAGTTGGACCTGAACTAATAAGGACTTTCTCTGAGACTGAAGAATAGGCAGCTCTATGTTTTGAGTTATTTGGCTAGGAAACAAAATGCACCATTGAAAACAGGAGTTGCAATTTCATCCTCAAAATTAGGCTGGTGCTTAGTACTCTGTGACAAGCAGTCACTTGGAACAGGGGAGGAGTTTAGAGTTTAAAGACCCTAAATATTTTTGCTGTTGTTCCTTTGAAATTATACCTGTTTGACAGTTTGCTCCCATTGGGAATGTAAGTAAGGAGTTGGGTGTGGTTACGTGGGAAAGCATTAACCTCCATAGTGATGCATGGCTGCTGAAATGCCAATTGCATCTACAGGTGTACAGCCCAGGTATCTAGCATAGTTTCTGTAAGTGCATATGCTCTCGCTCTTACTCTCACTAAGTCAGCATGGTCCTAAGGAGTTAATACTGCTCCTCTGGGAGATTAAACTCTCGGTTTTCTTAGCTGAATGAAAGCAACTCTAGTGACTCGGAGCGCCTGTCTTAGAATCCCCAGTGCCCTCTCCTGCAGCCCTGCTTACCTTCATTGTTTGGTGAGATTCCACTGGGTAATAGGAGCTCTGAATGAGCTGCACATGCCTGTCTTTGTTGCTGCGCACTTAGTCTTCTGGCTCTTTGTAGGGAAGCGGGCATTTAAGGACAAAGTAGTGAGATGTATATTTCTTTCCAGGAGCTGCGCGGTTTTGTGCAGAAGCTCCAAGCAGAGCTGAAGGATAAGGGTCAGCAGCTCCAGAACTTAGAGTGGGAGAAATGCCGTGAGACCCAGGCCCACGAACAGAGACTTCAGTGTCTGAGCCAGAGTTTGGCTCTCAAAGAGCAGCTCCTGCAGGTGAGATGATGACTCATTCAAACTGGGAATGATCCTTCAAGGATCTCAAATCTCTTCTTGTTACTTGGCTGCCAGCTACCCCCTGGGGGCTTAGATCTTACTAGGACCTGTTGTCCAAGGGGGTAGGTTGGAGTATGAAAGCAAGCAAGTCTTGGGCCACAGCTATGGGTATGGAGCAGCAACAACTAAACTAGATGCCAGCCTAACTTGGTCCCAGGCAACTTCCACTGAAGCCAGAGTGGGAGGGAAATAAACAGAATAGAAAATAAATGTGGTGAGTTGATTTGCCCTTCCTTGAAGTGTTTAGGGAGAGAGGAGGTGACTCAGCCTTCACTTTGCTCTCACTTTGTGATTTTTCTGGACTGGGTTCAGTAACATCTTTCTGGTGTTCAGTGGTGGGTCTCATATGTCCTCTCTGGGACTTCTCTCAGGAATCCAGGGAACTGCGACATCATCATCAGAGCTTGGACAAGAGCCCTGCAGTGGCAAATGCCATGCTGGAAAAGCTGCAGCAGCGAGTCAAGGACAGAGATGCTGCGTTGGAGGTAAGAGCAGGATGCTCCAATGTGTTGTTCCCAGCCTTTCCTTAGGTTTAGTCTCGGGACTTCAGTGGGGATGGGTGGCACCATATCCCTCGTGCTCTTCTCCCCATCACATGCCCTGCACTTCCTTTCCTCTGAGTCTGGGAGACTGAGCTGTAGTGTCCCCTACCTCACCAGTGGGAGAGCAGAGGGCTTCCCTTAGTGGGTAGGGAGTTCAGGGTGACTTCTCTGCCAGATGGAATCTTACCATAACCCTTAAGTGCCCACCTCCCTTTCATTTTATAGCGAGCAGTAGATGATAAGTTCTGTGTCCTGGAAGAGAAGGAGCAAGAGCTGCAGCAGCTCCACCTCTCAATAAGGGAGCGGGAGTGTGACCTGGAAAGATTGCGAAGCATCCTGTCCAGCAATGAGGCCACCATTCATGTAAGTGCTCACATCTCCCTGCAGAGCAGAGTCCCATCTGGCAATTGCAGTATAGACAGTTGCCATGTTCACACCTGGTTAATGCACCCTTCTGCCTATGATTGGGCCCAACCTGTCCGTTAGCACTCTTAGCAAGTCCCTGCCATGATCCTGCCCCTCATCTCTCCTCTGTCTGTCCTGGGATCCACTGCAGAAGGAACCAGGCTGTCAGCTTCTGGATAGCTTGATTCTGTGGGGCATTACTTAGCTGGATGCTGAAAGTTTTCCCCAGGGAGGCTGAAACTACATGTTGTGTGGAAGGGTGAAACCCAACCAGTCTTGATTCTGTTCATTTCAGTGCCCAAGAAACTTTAACTGGGCTTTGTCCCATGTTGAATTGTTCCCTGTTTCCTTTATGGTCTTCAGAGCCTAGAAAGCTTGCTGAAAGCCAAAACCCTGGAACTAGAGCAGGCATCAGCAACCTGCCAGAACCTCCAATGGATGAAAGAGGAAGTGGAAGCCAAATCCAGCAGCAGGCAGAAGGAGCAAGAAGGGATCGTTCAACAGCTGCAGACCTCTCTACATGACAGGAACAAGGAAGTGGAAGTAAGAGCCCTGTCTGCTGCTGCTGCATCACTTGACTAGTTGTGGGCATCAGTCCCTGAGGGTTGATGCTGGGCCTTCACAATCTACTCACCCCTAGGGAAGACAGGGCTGTATGTATTGCCCCTGTGCCCACCTGAGACTTCCTGGCCTCAAGTGGTCTTTGGGACCCGGTGTGTCACTCTGTAAATATATTGCTCAAAGGGAAGGATTTTTGTGGGTGATCTCTGTAATCGAACCAACGGAAGAGTTGGGGGGGATACAGGCAAACTTTCAGGTACCAAATACCTTTCTTCAGACAGTGTGCAAGAGACCAATGCACTAATATGAACAAGAGCGCAAAATCTGCATAACTGCAGACCTGAAGGCAAAGGCCAAAGCACAAAAGAGGGTCAGCTTCTGAGTGATGTGCCTAGCTTCTGATGCTGCCACATGCTGCCAGGCAATGGGGAGAGAGCCTGGAGAACTGTTTCCTGGAGTCCTGGCAGGCTCTGGCAATCAGGTGTTGGCAGAAATGCTAGCGGGCATTGAGTCTCAGCCAGCCTTTCCATAAGGTTGAAGGGCACCATCTCAACAGGCAGTCATTGCTAAGTGGGTTAGGGCTAGATGGGGGCACAGCACTCAATGCCTCTGAATATGGAGGTGGAAAATCTGATCCCTCTCCTTTTTCTTTCTTAGGAACTCACAGCCACCTTGCTTTGCAAGCTAGGCCCTGGGCAGAGTGAGATCACAGAAGAGCTGTGTGTACGCCTCCAGCGCAAGGAGAGGATGTTGCAGGATCTCCTGAACGACCGGAGCAGGCAGGTGGTGGAGCATGAGTCTGAAATTCGGGGCCTGCTTCAGGCCATTAGCGCCAAGGAGGAACGCAGCCGAGTAAGTTATGCTTGGAGCAGTGACCCAGTGCAAATGTGATGGACCTTCACTGTATTAGAGAGGCTGGAGACTCATCCCCAGCTTCTGTTGGTGTCATGACAGGAGGCTGCTGGGAATATCTTGAGTTTCAGATTGCTGTTGAATTGAATGTGAGGTCTCCCGTGTTAGTGCATAGTTAAGGTTACAAATACTACCTCATTTTCTGCAGGACTACTGGAAGTTCTGACACTGTCCAGGTGTCCCCAGGCCAAATAGGCCTGTGTTGCCTGTAGGAAGTTCTGTACTAGGATCCAGAGCTGTACATAGCAGAGGGAGTATATACAAATTCTAGTTTGAATAGGAATTCCACCATGACTGGGCCAGTAACACCAAAAGGAACCAATGGAAGGGTGAGCCTCAGAGCCCCTCATCCACATGGGTGATCCCAAGCCACCAGAAAGAAGCCCTTGAGCCATCTGCCCTGCATAGTTCCAGAAGATGGAGGCATGTGGTGTTGCAGTTTTGTAGGCATGGCATGGCCATTATGGTTAGATTTAACAGTTGTGCTAGTGTTCAGGATTCTTTTTGTTGGCAATACATATGAGTTGTTGCTATGAGAGTTCAACGAGTCTTCAGTGTTGCTTATTATATATTTAGTTCCATTAATTTAAATATTACCTGGGTGTTTTTGCATTGCATTACCTTTCATGGGAACTAAATTGAGTCTATTTCTCTTCTCTCAGCATTTTGCTCCTTCTCACTCTTGATCTGTCTTTATCCTCTCCTTAGAATCTCCACAGGGCTCCCCTTCAGCAAGGAGGGGATGCTAAAATCTACAGCTTTCCTGTCAGTGGAGCTGTTACCAGCCTAGCCAAAGATCTGATAGCATCAGCAAAGTGTTTAGCAAGTATTTTGCTAGTGAAAGCAGGGAGCTGTAATACAAACTGTGTAGCTCTGACTGTGTGTGCAGACTTTCTACTGAACTTGGGAATGAGATTGTCTCCTAACCTTAGCAGGTAGATAAAAAGCCTTTCCTGATCCATCATGGACAAGAGTCTGTGTGGTGAGGGGCCAAATATCTTTCAAATAATGAAGAAACCAGTTCATCCCCTTTGCCTTCTCTCCTCTCCGTTTTGTTTTCGTGCCATGTCAGATTGCTGCAGAGAAGATGGTGCAGGCTCTGGCAGAAAGAAGCTGTGAATTACAAATCCTGCGCCAGCAAATGATGGGGAAGGAGCTTGGGAAGAACCACAGAGCCAATGCCAAGCTGTTCCAGGAGGATGGAGAGCAGCCCATTCAAGTAGGAGTTGCACCGTGGATTTCCGTGTCCTCTGCATCCTGTCTCATGGCTCCAGAGAGAGCAGAGCATAGTAGAAGTGGATAGAGGAGGGGGATGTGTCAGAAAGGGAGTGGAAAGAAATAGAAATAGGACAGGGAAGAGAGCAAGCCCAAAGTTCAAAAAATAGATATGATCAGGCAGGTCCGTTGTGCAAGAATCCTTCCCGATATGAAATATTCCGTTGGTAGGCATGGTGCAGGCTTCAGGCTGTGTGCGACTCCACCTACTTCCCTACATCTGCAGTCTGACCTGTGCTGAATCCTGCCACTTCTTTCTTCCCATCATTTGGCTGTTTAAGTGCCCTTAAGTAGGCCTCAGTCAAATCTTGCTTTTGTGGCTGCATCCTCCTCTGATGCTGCCAGCTTCAGAGTCCTTCAGACCTTTCCTTTGGGTCCTTTCGTAGGCTTGTCCACATTTGATCTGTTTGCCTCCCTCCATTGCTCTGCTTTGGATTCTCCAGGACTTGCTGGCCTCTGGCCAGCCCCTTCCCTGAGACCCTGTTTGATCAAGCTGCTGGAGTGCAGCACCTGGAGATGGACTGGGAGACCTGGTCCATGCAGGGTGCACAGAGGAAGCTCAAGCAGTAAGATACTGAGAGAGTTCTTTGTGTTTTCAGGATTTACTGCAAGGAGGTTGTGGTGACACCACCACCAGCACAGTCTCCAAGGGACAGGACAGCAAATACCAGCCAGGAAGAGGTCAGTGCAGTGGCAGATTTTCTGCAGTTCATAAGGTGACAAAATGGGGCTTTTGCCACTGGGGAGAACTTTGCTGCTGTCTCTACTGGTTGCATACAACAACGTTTCATACAACAACCAACAGAGACCTCAAAACAGGAGTGTTGAGAGATCAAACTCAGAGCCCTGGCTCACTGAGGAAGGGTGGGATTAAAAAAACTGGGCAGGAGTTTAGCAAGCAGTTGAAGATGTTGGGTACTAGATATGGGGATGGAAACTGGCATTCAGAATTCTTGACTCACTGAGTGGCAGGAGTTGGTGTGGGAATGGGAACTGATGTTTGCTGATCACTGGCATAACCAGGATGCCAGATTCTTGACTGGGAGAAGCAGAGTTAATATAAGACAGGAGATGATATTGGGACACTCTATAGAACTGGGGCCATTTGATTCTGAAGGGGAAAGCAGCCAGATTGAGTGTGTCAGACTGGACTTTAGCAGGGGGTAGGTGTTTAAGGATCACAGAGTATGAAGTGTCATCAAAAAAAGGACATGGAAAAGCTATTTGTTCCTGGTGAAGGCTCAGGTGCTGTCAACTGGTGCAGGATTTAAAATTTCATTTAAACAAAGAGATTCTGTCCCTAGCCTTTCCATTTGAAAGGAACCAGTAGTTGCACGTCAAGCCCTGCATTAGTGTAATTCTTCTTTACAGATATTATGGAGTCAGCTGCAGAACTGGAGAAGGAGCTTGTTAATGCCAAAGAGGAACTTGAGCTGATGGCAAGAAAGGAAAGGGAAAGCAGGGTGAGTTTGTATAGAGACCTCATGTGTCTTGTTTCACTTGAGACCAATTGCAGACTGGACAGCCTTCAAACTCTAGTGCAGTGCTTAGACCTTTCCCCTTTGAGAGGAAGCAGGGGTTTCTAATACTAACATGTGGGGACCCTTCCTTTTGGGGGTTTCCTGAGCTCTGCAATAATAATTGCCCATAGTAAAAGCCTAGTGGTACTTTACTGTTAACCCTGGTGTCTTGGTCACTTTCCAATTTTCCATCTAGATTCCCTGTTTCCTAATGGATATAACTTTCTTCTTTGCATCTGGTTCTAAAAAATATGCTGCCTCTTACAACCTCCTCCTAAGTAGCTAGGTCTCAGTCTAGCAAATCACTTCATTTTTATTTTTCGGGACCTGTATTAGCTTTACTAGCTTAGCTTTACTCTTTCCAAGGGATGCTCCAGTTTCCAGTGTCATGACTCTTTCCATTCTTCTGTAGGATTTTCCTCACATAGTGTCATTCGTGGAGTAAACAGATTGATGCTAATCCCTTCATCTCACTGTATCAACTCCATAGTTGCTGATCTCAATAGAGGGACTGAAGAAAGGGTCTGATTAGAGTTAAGGCTGAAAGGAAGCTTCTGTCTTAAGCCTTCTGCCTTTCTTGGAAAAATTGTCTTTTGGCCTCAAACAGAGGCAGCAGTTATACTAGTGCCCCACTGGATGGAGGAAGCCTCCTAAGACTCTAGTCTGCACTATAGTGTAGAAGCATGGGGCTATGGAGTGGACCAGAACAGGACGTCAAGTTTGTGTGAAGGGTGTCAGCTTTCTCAGGCCTACTGCTGACTCCATGGTTTCTTCTCTGCAGTTGGAGCTCTCAGCTCTTCAGTCTGTGGTGGCCACACAGGAGGAAGAGCTGCAGGTGCAGGTCTCGGATGTGGAGTCCCTGACTAGGAAAATCCAGATCAAAGAGGACCTTATAAAGGTGGGATATTGAGAATTGTCCTGATCTGCTGTGCTTTAGCACCCCCAGGCAGATACGATTATGAGGAGCATCTAATTCACTCCTTTGCCCCTGCTGACTTCTCGTTAACTACAGTAGATACCTGAAACCAGGAATTGGTGTTTCCATGGAGATAAGCCATGAAACTGAGGCATCTACTAATAAATAACAGGTCTGGTCTCTTCACTTGTAATCTAGGCCTCACTTATGAAGTGTGTAGCAGCTAATGGGGTCAGCATCCTCTGTCCTGGTTCTTGTTCGATGGATCTTGTACAGGAGGAACCATAAACCCATGATACCATTGGAGATGCTTTCTGGAGTCTCCTAATGTTCTACTCAAAGGATTATTTAGGAATACAGGCAACCCCTGCTTAGTGTTCTTAATTGGTTCCTGAAAAAATGAGTGTTAAGTGAAATGAGCATTAAGTAAAACCGAAAGTATGTGATAACCCAAGGTGGCAACTGCAAGTGTTTTTAATGACCCATGATGGCGACCACGAGTGTTATAATGAAATTCGAGCACTTAGTGGAATCGGGTATCAATTTTAAATGAGCTTTATAGTGAAATAGTGCTAAGTGAAACAGCGTTAAGCAGGGGTTGCCTGTATTCACTTGCAAAATGCTCTTGCTAAGGTGTTCTGTAGAACAGTGCTTTGCGTCCTGCTCAGAGTCTTACTTCAGGATGTTGTGTGCAATGCACTTCACAGTCCGCAGGAGTTCCTAGAGTTCCTTTTGTTGAAAATGCTAATCCTGTAGCATCTCCAGGAACCTTTTTAATTTTAGGTCCCATAACTTGCAAAAAAATTCAAGGGTCTTTCCTGTAGTTGATCCATTCTCCAGTCAACCATTTTCTTTCTGGGCTTTCAGGATCTGCAGATGCAGCTGGTTGACCCGGAGGAAATTCCAGCGATGGACCGACTGACCCAAGAAGTTCTGATGCTTCGAGAGAAAGTGTCTATTACAGAGTCACGAGGACAGGAAGCTGCAGGGAACAGGAGGCAACAGGTAGCATACTCTGTAGTGGTACCCCCATCAGAGAGTCTATCCTGTGATTCAAGCTCAGACTTACTGCTTTTTTTTTGGTCATAGGTGAGATTACCGTAAAGACTATTTTCAGCCTTGAATAGCACTGTAATACTATTGTCCTTGGAGACTGTGTGGCTAGGATGTGGTGTAAGCCAGAGAATTAGGCTCTTTGTATGGTCCATAGAAAGGCAGAGACAGGCCTAAACCCCATTCTGGTCTTAAGCAAAGAAGCTTTGGCTGGGGTCTGGAGTCAAGAGTCTGACCCATTCTTTCCCACTTGAAGTCTTTTAGACAGAAAGGCCTGGTCTGTCCTTGTGGAAAGCAAAACTCACACCATTGGGACTGCAAAGTTCCTTTTCTCTCTTGCTTCTTGTTTGTTTTCTTCCTCCACAGCTACTACTGATGCTGGAAGGGCTGGTGGCTGAGAGGAATCGACTGAATGAAGCTCTGCAAGCAGAAAGGCAGCTCTACAGCAGTCTGGTGAAGTTCCACACACACCCGGACAGGTAAGTGATCTCTGCCCCCACTTTGCACCATTCTTTGCCTTTGTTGCTATGTCATCCTGCTAGATGAAGGAGTAGGGCTGTCCCAGAGGACTTGGAAAGACCTTGCAGTAGCACTTAAATTAGTATCAGCCAGAAGGAAACCTGTGCTGCAGTAAGGAGTGCCCGGGTGAATAATCAAGGAGGAGCTCAGTGCACTGTTGCTCAGGAAAGACTGAATTGCTGTCAGCTTTACCCTGCTGAAAGATCACACTAGCCACGTAAGGCAGTCCCATAGCAAGTGTGAAAAGGGTCAGGTTTAATAGCCCCGCAGAGATTTCACACTCCCTTCAGATTCCCCCATGCTCATGCCTCTTGTGTTTTCTTTCTGTCCCTTAGCTTCCCCCATCCCTGTGCCCATTGGTTTGCTTCCCTCTTGCCAAGTCTTAAAGAGTGCACTTTGCTTTGTCATTGTTATCCAATTGTTTGGCTGGGAGGGGGCTGCTAGTGGATTGTCTGGGCCACGTGCCTGCATCAAGGCACAATGGATGTTACCAACCCCCGTGCTACCCCTGTGCCCTCTGAGGGGATGCAGCCCCTTAGGCAGCTGAGCTCTCCTCAGTGACAGCAGTTTACACATGGAGTTTCTCTTGGCATTCTGGTGAGTACTGATAGTAATCATCAGGAAACTGTCATTCCTACCCAGAGTGTTGCTTGAGCAATCTGCTCCTTCTAAGGGTCTGAGTGGGCATGTGCCAGGGCCCAATGCTGGTGTGCTGAGGAGCCCATCACATGATGCTGGTTCTGTTGAGGTTTAGAAGAGAAATGGAAGGAAATGAGTTACCAGCACAGGGGCTGAATCTGTGATTAGAGCACTGAGGACCAATGCCTGGAGTAACAATGGAGATGCCAGTTCTTTGTGTGGGCTTACTGGTCAGGACATTGACTTACAGCCTAACTAACCCTCTTTCCTTTCTGTGTGGCGTGTCTGAATAGCTCTGAGAGAAACCACACTCTGCAGGTGGAGCTGGAGGGGGTCCAAGCACTCCGGGACCGACTGGAAGAGGCTCTTGGAAGAAGCTTGGAACGTTTGAGCAGGCTGGAGACCCAGGGCGCCATTGGAGGTGGGGATCAGGAGAGTGTGAGAGTCCTATCCCAGCATGCCTTCTGAGCTCTGGCGTTCACACTGCCACGCACCCAAGATGGAAACTGCTCACTAACAGCAAGCCTGGCTGTGACTGACTTTGGGAGGGCAGATTTGTTACTAATGATAACGGTAGAAGTGGTGCATTTAGGACTGCTGTGGAAACGGCACTCAGTGCAATCCACTTGTGTCTCGTGTACCTGCCTGTCTCTATCCCTGCAGTGGAGGTGACAAAATGTATTTGCACATTCAAGCCATTCCATTTTAGTTGATCTCCATCCATCTCCCTTCCCTTCCCTTCCCTCCCCTCTGCCATTGGGCCAAATAAAGATTCCCTTCCTCCAGAAGTGATTTTAAATGTTCTGTATCATCTCACAATTGCATGAGTGTGGATTTGTCCCCCCCCCAAATCTTTTCCATCCAGTGGAGTCCTGCTCCTGGGACAGTGGCTGCCTCTGAAACCAAGCTACAGTGTCAGGGGAAAGGAGCAAAGAGTCTGTGGAAAAACAAGTTCTTCCTGGTAGCCAGAGCTTGTGCGCTTTGGCAAGCTGATGTTGATGCTAGACTCAGCAAAAAAATAGTCCATTTTTAGGCCCTAATCCCATCCAGCTCTGGATTTGGATTCTTTTCCATCCTTGGGGTTGAGAGCAGTCTACCTCCCAGACATGGAAGCGCACCCAAGGAGACCTTGGCTCTTCCTGTATTAGACTTTGTCAATAGCTTGTGATATTAGGCCAGCCCCTTCCTTCAGCAAGAAGAAAAAACTGCCAGCTGTAGAAGATTAGTTGCTAGAAAGCCAAGTTTGGGTGACAGAGTTGTGCACACATCCATGTGTCAAACTAGGGCTAGGAGATACACATGCCACTGCTCTCTTTGTTCAGTACCTGCGTGTTTTTAATATCAATGAGAAAATTAGACTCCCCCACCTTAAGCTATGCCAGGGGCAACTCTGAAAGATTCAGTGGGGCATATAGAAAGCCATGCTCTGGTTTGTGGGGTACGTAGGTCCCATTCAGGAGTACAGTATGTCTACTGTAGTGCATTGGTTTCTCTTTCTAAAAGGTATTTCTAATAAAGTGCTGGGAGACCAAAAACAGTGGGGTTTCCCCTACTAGCAGCTCTTCAATGACAGTTTATGCTTGCATAAGGGGAATATTAGCTTTCTCATTATATCACTTCTAAAATTCTCAGTGTAATTGTGAGGCTGGATTTAGTGTTTCACTTAGTCAACCATACTCTGTTACACACACTTATCTGTATCATCTTAACAGCAAGCAATGCGAGGTCTCAGGCAGGAGGGAAGAGCCTTGGTTCTCCTTAGTCTCTGAGGCTGACTGGGTCATGCCTTACAATGCAGCCCTTGTGCACTTACCAGGCGATTAAATCATTGCATGTGTCTAACTCATGTTCACCAGTGTGTGTTTCATACTTTGCACTGAAGTTAGAGTTGATCCTTCTTCCAAACTGTAGAGAGGGATAGGTAAAACCTAGATAGGCACATCCAGTCCACCTTCCCAAGGTCAGTTCAGGATTGCTTCTTAATGTGTGTCAGCTAGCATTTAAATTGACTTATCCCTACTCTGGGGATGTATTAATATGTGTTCCTGCTAGAAAGTTTATCTTGGTGTTGAATCTCAATAGTCCCTTCCTTTCATTGCTCTTGTTTATGTCTCTGTTATGCCATGCTGACTCCTTTCCCTTTGGCCTTTGTATCCTTCACATTGCAGTAGATGGTTATGTTCCCCCTTAATCATCCTTGGTGGACTTGGCTCTCTTAACGTTTACTCCTACATCAGTCCCATGTAACTGTGTTACTCTGTTCTTTGAAGTGGCTCTGAATTTGTCTGTATCCTTGAAATGGAAGCCAGCCCAGAATGCAGTGATGTCAGTGTGATGTGAAGGATTGGTGGCACTGCCGTAGGATAAACAGGTCTAGATGGTTTCTTTGCAGTTTATCACACTACAGACTTCCTGTGTCTAGCCTGCCTCTCCCACCACTGTTGCTTCCCAGCATCTTCCATAGCAGAGCTTTGAACAGTTTCCCTCAGGCATTATAGTTCAATTTTTTCTGAGCTCTTGGAAGATACTTTTATGGCCTTGATTAGCATAGTATCCTATAGCTCTTATTCTAAAGTATACAGCCCCTGCTGCAGGGTGGAGAAGACTGTGCTATCCCTGTTTTGGAGACTAAAAGACACAGCCATGCAGAAAATCTGGGAACGATTAGGATATTACAGTCTGGTTTCTTGAGTCTTCCTGTCTGACCACTAAGCTGTCTTGAATCTTGTAGCATTTTTTTGTGTCTTGGTTCCTTTGTTCTATGCTATCCCTTTGGTCTGTCTTCTGTTTCAGTTCCACCTCTGAATTTCATTCCTATGCAGTTTGCACCCCAAGCTTCAATGAAGATACTTAATACAGCCAGAACTACGACCAATCCATGCTACCAGATGCTTTCTGAAAGTCATATTTATTGCATTTATTTCCTCTTGATCTGCAAATTCTAGAGGGGGAGAAAAGACAACAGATTCTTGGCTGACTATATCTGTTCCTTTACAAATCTGCTTTTCGCTATGTTGTATCCCTGCTGCCTCCTCCAAGTTCTATAACTTTACTGTTAGTAACAAGAGAAGAGGAGCTATGATCCTGTTTCCTTCTTTTGACAGGTTGGTCATGTATTTGATTCTTTCCCAATTTTCTACTGCCTTCCCACCTTCCCATTTTTTTGTCAGTAATTGGTCTCTTGGCAGCCTAGTGGAACTGAACGAGAGCAGTGGTGAGCTGACCATGCAGGCCAGCTGACCCGCAACCTGAACTAGCCTAGGCCTTTTAGCAAAGCATCTGCTCTCAAGAGCTGCTTGTATTGTGTCCATTCATTCATTCTGTTCAGCCACCTACTGAAATACAAAGGAACCACATTTTCCATCCCTGTGCTTTATCATCCTTCTCCAGGCACAGCAGGAGTACCTAATCAATCAGCACGGTGACATTTCCACTAGCATTGTGCATGAGGCTAGGCAGGGGGAGAGCATGCCTAGGGTTGACAAACATGGGTAGACGTGACCCAACAGATAACCTCAGGGAAGCTCTTACAGGCTTCCTCCATGCAGGGTAACATCAGTGCTTTGCCAGTCTAAATCCCATCAGGGATGGGCTTCCATTACACCGCCTGGCAAGCTGGTTCATGATCCTCAGATCTCTCTAGTAGGGATAGTTGCTTGAATTTAACTTTTTAGTAAACTTACTCAGTTTGCTCTCTGATGCTTAGTTGTACTCTGCATATTTAGTTCTTTCTGTCAAGCTGTTTCTATGTCCTCAGGATCAGGGCAGATGAAGAGAAGCCCTTCTGTGTTTGTCTCTGAACTTGCTCCTGTTTTCAGTGCCGCCTTGGCCTGTTGTCGTGGAATCACAGAAAACAAGGCTGGAAGGGAGCTCAAAGAGGCCCTCTGGTCCAGTCCTCTGCTCCAAGGCAGGATCAGCTCTGCCTCAGCCATTCCTGAGAGATGTTGGTCTAACTTCATTCTTAAAACTTTGAGTGATAGAGATCCCACTGCTATCCAGGCAACCTCTTCCCATGCTTTACTATCCTTTCAGTTAGGAAGTTTTTTTTCCTTCAAGGCTACCTAAACCTCCCTTGCTTCTGATATTCTTACTGTACCCGTGATAGAGATGGTACATCATCTCTATAATACCTTTCTTCTTGCTGTAACCTTGTACATAGGTGAGGACTGCCATCATGTACCCCTTCAGTCTTCTCTCCTTTAGACTAAACAAATCCAACACTTTCAATTTTCATAAGTCATATGTTTTAGGCTTTAGATCATTTTTGCTCTTCTCTGCATACCCTCCAGACACGCTTCTCTGCATACCCATACCATGTCTTCCTTGAAGGGTGGCATCCAGCGTTGGCCACCATACTCCAGGTATGCACTTCCCTTAAAATGCCACAGTCTGGTTCTACGCATCTTTTTGCTCTGCACATTCAGCTCTAATCACAGCAGCCATTCTGCTGCAGCCATGTCCCATTGGAAACTCATGCCTACCTTGCTGTCCCTTGTCATTTCTATGTTCCCTTTAGCATAGCTATTATTGTCCATTGAACACATCTCTGTCTTCCCTCAGCTGTATTTGTTTTGATTTTTGTAACCAAAACTCAGTTTTGTGTTTCCTGACTGTTTCTAACCTCTGCAATTACATATTCTATTTCCTCAGTAACATAAGTTGCATCTTCCAGGTCACTGTGGTCTGCAAATTTTATCAGAGGTATTGGCTCCTTCCAGATCATGCATGGATGAATTTAAAGAAGAGCAGAGGTAGTTTCAACACTGCAGTGCTCTGTTTAAGAGTTGAGGTGGCTCATGGTATCCATAAGCACCGGATATGGTCAATTTGTTGGGCGTGTTAAAGAGCAGGAGTCAGTACCCATCCATCTCCATCCATTCCCCCACCAAAGAGATGTGGGGTCACAACAGAATGGTTCTGATACCAATGCTATATTATGAACTGTGAAATGACTCTGCCCTTATGTTAGAAGCTTGAGCCTCTGAGCTGAGTGAGCTGAACTGGAAGAGTGGGGAGGCAGATGGAGTGGGAGGAGCAACACTGGAAGAAGAGAGTATAGAAAATACGGAAGGATCATTCTGTATGTGAGGTGGAGGGGGGAGGCCATTGGGGTAGAAAGTCCAGATCACAAAAGTATGCTGCAGCCTCCTGAATGCTGTAACAGGCCATGTCCTCGGCTGTGCGACTGGAATGCACTAACTTCAGTATAGTTTCACTGGTGTCTGCCAGCTGAGGCTAGCAGAGGAGGCTAGTATGGGTCTGTCTCTGCCTCTGTGGGCATTCAACCAGACCTTTGCTGCTCGGGTTCAAAGTTCCCTGCCTGAGTGTGATCTCATCTGGTTAAAGTTTTGCAGGCCAGTTCAATGCCACTCATGCCTTCTGGTTGTGAGCAGTTTGCCTGGGTGCTTACAAAGGTAAACAGTGAGTCAGACTGGGAGTTTGTTTAAGATAGCATCCTGCTTTGTGTATCTGAGTGAATTAACATACAGGAAAAGAGTAAAGCCTGTAGGTCTGTTGCTCCCAGTTGTGGAGGTTGAAAAGGACCCAAAAGCCATTTTCCTAACTAGCTGGAGCTTCCCTCACTGTATGGGGAAACCTTAAAGTGCCATAGAGTCCGTATTATGACTCAGTCAGGCATCTTCCTACAGCCCCTCCTCTTACAACAGGCCAAAGCATTGTTGTCCTCCCACTGTCCCCAGCAGTTCAGGGCTCTGGATGGCTGGGAGCAGCCTCAAGGCCATTCTAAGTGATGGGGCTAACCCTGGTATTGGGAAAGCTGCCTTGGCCCTTCTCCAAACTAACCCTTCTAGCAGCTAGAAACTAGACAACTGCTTGGGTATGAATCACTGCAAGCCCAAAATCTGTGGAGGCTGGGGGTGCACAACAGTGACATGAATTTTCTACGTAAGTCTTTCCTATTGAAAATGATGGTGAAATTCCTTGTCTTGTTTTGGCCGTGCAAGAGGCTAATGCCTCTTTATAGAGCAACTGTAGGATACCTGAGCTCAGCAGAACCAGACTGGCTGAGGTGGGGGAGGTGGAGCAGAACAGAATGAAGTATGAAGATACCAACTGCATTCATTGTAGTCTTCAGTCTCCAGTCAAGCCTGGCCCCTACTGCCTGTTATTCTTAGGGAAAGAATATAGCCTGGGACTCGCACCTTGTAGGTTCTGAGGGGGAGGAAAGAGAGATCCTGGTAGTGCAACTGCACTGGTGCAAAATAGCCCAGGCTTAGGTGCTAGGAAAGAAACACCAGGCTATGTGCAGAGCCTATGGGATCTGCCAAGATGAGGAGCTGACCTTATTATGGCTCATTGCATGAAGGAGTGGCCTGAAGAAACAGAGCAAGGGCAACTGTGAGAGCCGTGGCAAAGCATAGGCTTATTGAAAACAGCAGGACAAAGAGGGCAAACAGGCAGAGTCTGGTGGGGTGCGCCCCCACAAGCGTGTACATGCAGGGACATATTTCCCATGTGACAATATTTGTGCCACTGCTATTTGTCCCCAGGCATGCTCCTGTACGCATGCTCTGGTGTGCAGGAAAGGGACCCGGCTAGGATAGGGGAGGCTGGGGTCAGCACCTATGCTGGCCACACCAGCCTTACTTGGGGGCCTCCCAGGGCAGCAGTAGTACTGAGCTGGCTGCTCAGGCCTTGGCCACTGGCTAGCAGCCAAAGTGTAGCTCTGCCTGGCCAGGCTCCAGTTTCTGGAGGCACACCCTTCTGCTGCATGCGCCATGCCACTTTTTAGTGGTGGTTTTCTTTGACACCGAGATCTCCCAGTGTCAAAAAATCCTGCACTGCTGCTAATTAGCAGCACAACAGGTGCATATGCCCTGTGTGTGGTTTGTGGTGCCTCAAACAGCTCTGAGGCACCACACGCCATGTATGCACTCAGGGGGATGCATCCGTGGGCTCCTAACAACTTGGCTGTATCCAAGCAGGCTTACTGCATCGTGGCAGGGATCCCACAAACTGAGACAGGTAATTACCCTGCAAAGGAAGAGGGCAGGATGCAAGTGGCTGAAAGGGCATTGTAAAGGGACTGGGAGAGATTTCCACCTGGCATGCTCAGGGCTTGTTTGGGCAAGATGCACATGCCAGAATATACCAGAGCACTATCATGCCAGCTAGTTGCGGCTCCCAACATATTGGGAAGCAAATGCGTTAGTGGAAAAAAAACAGTTCAGTAGCATATGTGATGGGCAAAGAAAATAGCTGGGTTACAAAACAGAAATACCTCCAAATAAATCTGTGTAGATGACCAGGACATAATGAAACCCTTAAGCAAATCAGGAATTACTGAAGAGTAGGTAGGGGAATCCCTAGAAGAATGTGTTTAGTGAGTAAAAGGGCTCTACACACTAGAAAGGAATTAGCAAATTTATTGAATTATTGACAACTGTCATATGGGCAAAAATAAAACACAGGGAGAGCAACCCTGGACTTGATTTTCCAAAGAGAAAAAAAGAGAGAGGCCTTCCTAGTTGCCAGCTGGTAAATTCAACTTCCATCCCTTGTTAAAGAGCTGTAAAGAAAGGAGAGAGACTGAAACGAGGAGTAATAAAGAGCAGAAGGGGTTTCAAAAGCAAAGCGGAAAGTCAAAATGCTGTGCAAGTTATACAGTGCTTTATCATTACAGAGGTCAGATACCCCGGTAAACTGCATTATGGTGTTATTAAATGGCTATTAAAGTGGTATGTGGAGATCCCTGATTGCACTGGTTGGGGGCACCAAGGCAGAGTCCTGCTATCAATAATCATATTTAAACAGCTGTAGTAGACATGATTCCTATTCCAGCAGAGAGAGACCTGACGGTTAGAGAGAAATGGCAGGAGACTGGATTTCACTGCAAGAGTGGAAATTCACTGCCTGCACGCTGGTGTGGGCATGTAAGAAGTGGGGGCAGGAGTGTAAGCACTGCAATATGCAGCAGTTCAAGGGAAGCAGCATTTGAGAGAGTTGATGGGGTTTTCTATTGACGCTAGATGGCAGAAGCACTCAGCAAAGCATATTGGCATTGGCATTACAGGCTTAACTCCACTCCAGGTATTAGTGTATGAATGAGCAGCGTCTCCTGAGGATTAAGGTGCAAAAAGATGCAGTACGGAGGCAGCCGCGCATTGTGTAGTCAGCAGGCAGAAGGCTGGGTAGCTCAAAAACAGTTATAGTACTGAGCTCACTTTTGGTTGCCTCATCATCAGAGGAGTGTAGCTGCATTGAAACACTCCAGAGGAGAGTGGAAAGTGGGGGTCGGAGGGCTTGACTGAGCCTCATGGGGTAGGGAAGAAGCTTGGCCAGTCCCTCCTGTGGTTCCATCTCAGTGCAGGATTTGAAGGGATTTTCCCGGCTGTGGTGGCATTCCAGTTAGGATAGATTTGTTCATACTGCGTGTGATTTCCCTCCTATTAGGTCAGGGTCGTTTCACCCAGCAAAGCATTACAAGGAACTGGAATCCACACAAGCATAAGGATGACACTAACTGTGCTCTAAAGTAAAGCAAATCAAATCTCATGCTTCAGGGTGCTGATTTAGCTTCTGCTGAGGTTAGGTGGAGATTCCCTTGTGTGTAGCATTGCAGAAGGCGCCAGATGCCTTAGGAGGCTTTCTTGGTGACAGTCTGTGGTAGTGGGTTACGGCAGAACATGGCCATCGACACGTTGGAACAATGCACTGCTCTGGTCCTGTGAAGCATGTTGTTCAAGGGTAAGCATGTATGAGGCAGGTGTACGAGAGAGAGAAAGGCCTGGTGAGTTCATCAGAGGGACCTGCATCCCATGATGTCTCGTGGTGTTTCCATCACAATCCAGCCAGGCCAGTTTACCTCTTTCCAAGCTACAAGGTCCATGTAAACACTCAGATAAACCTCCTTGGGACAGAGAACTGTGTGTATCTCATACCCTGCCCCCAGACTTCTCTTTGGGGAGAGGCTAAGCACAGCCTTAGGGTCTGACCTACTTGCTCTGGGACTGGCTCAGACCCCAGAATCTCTCCTGCATGGTCAGCTCCTGGGGAAAGCCCTGTCCTGCTTCTTGGGTGCAACTCCAGGAGAAACTGGAGGCTGTGCTAGAGCAGGCAAATGAGTGGGGGTGCAGCCATCGGAGCCTGTGTGAATGAGAACCTGGGGTGTCCCTGATTTGGAGACCCCTGATTCTTTGTATGTACCTCCAGGGCATGCCAGATACTGGCTTTCTCCCCAAGAGAGTCTGAACACTGATGCCCTAGCAGTCATAGCTCCAGGGGATGCCATGATCTGGGGAAAGACCCAAGCCAGCCTTACTCAGGCTGCACTAATGGGCTTGTTAGAGCAAAAGCATCCCCTTTCTGCTGCTAGTGCCTCCCCGCTGCCAGTGACCCATATGCACCTTGCCAGGCTGAAGGCATTTTCTGCTGGCCAGACTCCACAGGCTGCTGGGCTCCGGGCACCGTGGTTCAGCTCAGTTCAGGAGTCCACCACTGCAAGGGCATCCCTGACAGAGCCTGGCCCACCCAGCGCAGCCCTCACCTCAATTGCATGGAGGGCATAACTGGAACAAGGTGGGCACTAGTAAAAGTGAAAGATTTATCTAAGAGACACTTATTGTACTTGGTAGGTAATGAGCAAGCTCAGAACACAGAGACAGTTCTGTACCCTGGTCTTTCCTTGGGTATCATTGGGCTCCTGCTTATCATACCACCAGTAGCCCAAGCCCCTTCACCCAGAACCTCTTCCTGGGCTTCTCTGTTGTAATGTAGGTGGATGGGGTTCTTGTTCTGCTTGTTGCTGTGCTGGGGTCTAGTGTCTCGTGACCTTGAGACTCTGGGAAGCAGAGAATGCAGTGGGTGTAACATACTTGGCTTGTTGGCATCTGTGCTGGCTTCTTGACTGGCTCCCTTAGAGGCTGCATGAGGCAGGGCACTTTCCAGGGTGTGACTGAGCTGGGTAGTTTTATCCTCACTTCCTGCTTCCTACGGCACCTTTGAAGTCAACAGACAGACCAAAATTTCCCACAGCCCGTGCTTCCTTATAGGGAGGTGCCCAGCAGGGAAAGGTACTGGATCTCAGCACCTGGAGGAGCCTCTGGTACCAGGAATGAAGGCTATTAGTGTCCCAGTGCAGAGTCCTGGGCAGGAGCAGCTGGCCTTCCAGAGGGCCTTGGCTGTAGCTGGAAAAGGGTTTGCAAGGGTTTGCCAAGGTGGAGAAGGGTGGGCTTGGACAGGGGGCAGAGCGGGGCTTGTTTCTTATAAAGCTAATTTCCAGAGCAGTCGACATAGCTCAAGAAGCCCCCTGCCCTTCTCATGTCTCGCTTTGGTGTCTCTTCTAGGTCAACACATGGGGGAAGACACTGAGGACACCAGCACTGAGTTCACTGACAGCATTGAGGAGGAGGCACCAACCAGATCTACAGCTGCACAAGTAAGCCTGAGAGAAGCGCTTTGTTTCTAGAGGGAAGCCTAAAGGCTCGGGCCACTTGGAAGGAGCTGTTACATATTGCTTGTGCCTTACTGTGTTGCGGGGAGTCATTCTGGAGTGTGACGTTGCTCTGGAGTGTGACCTGTTTGGTTATATCCCCCCTCTGAGAATTGGGACCTAGTGCCCTCTGAAAACATCTGGTGGGAGACAAGCAGGGCTGTCCCTAGGGTACGGCAAATCAGGGCAACCGCCCCAGGCCCCACGCTTTGGGGATCCCCATACTTTGACATCTGAGGGCTGTGACAAAGGTGCTACCTAGTGCCCGCCCTGTGGCACAGCCTGGCCCAGAGGCTCTGCGAGGCTACTGGGCACCGGGCACCATGGTTCGGCTCAGCTCAGGGGCCCCCCACCACAAGGGCATCCCTGACAGAGCCTGGCCCATCCAGCGCAGCCCTCACCTCAGTTGCCCCATGCTGCAGGTGGCCCCCTGGGGCAAGCTGTGCCAGCACCCTCACCGCCAGGGCCAGGGCTGCTACCTCCATCCTGCTCTGCAACCCGTGCCACCCAGCTCTCTTAAGGGGGCCCTGCACCCCACTAGGGTCGGCCCTGGAGACGAGCTCTCCAAGCACTGCCAGCAGAGGCGGTGGGTTGAGAGTGTTTTCTGCCCCTGCTGTACTTGCCATGACATCCCACTTACACAAACTGCTAGGTGCCTGCCAACCTGCGGGTCCCCTCAGCCAAAGCTGGGAAATCATCTTCTCCATGCACCATGCAGTCCATGCTCCCTGGAGACCATTGCTTGTCAGTCTTTTGCACTGACCTCTCCTTCAGCACCTGTGCTTTCTTTCTAGACTAGCCAAGGGGGCGTTGAGAACAAGCTGGAAGTCAAGGATATTCAGTCTGATTCCCTGGCCCCAGCTCTGCTGGAGAGCCTGCAGATGGAGCTGCTGTGGGAGAGATCACAGAGTCAGCAGATCAAGGACGAGAAGAGGAAGGTGGAAGGGGAGCTGAGGGAGCTGAAGGCACAGCTTGAGGAAGCTGGCTTCTCCTCCGTGTCTCACATCAGGTAAGGCAGGATACACACAAAGGCAAGGATGAGAAGCACTGTAAGATCACATGGCAGCATCCTCCAGTGTGGCTGGGAGTGCATGGCTGGTTCCTGGGTGTCCTACTGAGCCACTTATCGCTGTGGATCCTCTTAGGGCTGCAGACAGGCAGCTTTCCCCCAGCAGCTGGTGCATGGTCCTTAGAGACTCCAGGCTGGCCTCTGCTTGCCCTAGGCAATCTTGAGAGAGGAGGATTTAGTTTCAGGATGACTTGTACTTTCTTCTCCCAACCTTTCCTTGCCCCAGGGAAATGCTTTGGCCCTTACTGTAAGCCAGTGTTGGCACTGGATTCACAACCCAGCCCTGATTCTTTTGCTCCAGGCAAGCACAACGTTCAGATTGACCACAACGCCTACTGGTTGATAATAGGCAAATTTTATTGATACACAGTGATAGGAAATAAAAGCAACACAGGCAAAGCAAGTACAATATACATTACCCAAATTTCCCAGTGCCCAGAATATACATGAAGCAACCAGTCCATCCGGCCAGTACGTAAATGTCACCTTGAGGTTCTTTGCTTGACTGTCCAACATCAGCAGCCTTGGAGGTTGGGAGCCAATGCCAATTGTCCCCTTTGCTGTTTTGAAAACTCTTCCTTTTTCATTCTTTCTTCTCCAATGGCTCTTCATTTTTGGGCATCATTAATTGGTCTTCCTGTTGTTGTCATACTGTCCACGTCCTGAATCCCATTTTCATAACCCTATCATATGCCCACATCCTAATTTGGGGCATTTGTGTCCTCTTAATTTGGTCTGTTCCCCCAAAACCGGAAAGCTTAAGGCTTTTTGCAAGCAGGCACTTCAGTCCTGAAGCCAGGCCTATCTCTATTATGAAAATAAAGTTTGGATGTTTTCAATTACCCAGGATGTGTATATGTTGGCCTTGCTGTTTGCTTGCCTGGGTTAGACACCCTATCTACTTTTGAAGGTTATGAGAACTGTATAAGAAAACAGGCTTTTAGAAATCAATTAACCCTTGCAGCTATAACCATTATTCTAATGCATATAAAGTTACCTATGAACCAGTTTCCAAAAGCAAACCTCTAAATATCATTTTTTTAGCCATCAATCCCTTCCTTGAAGATTCACACCTTCATATCACAAATGAAGCACAATTAAGGGCATTTTATGGAATGTTTAATAGCTTTGTGGGGAGGGCCTCCACTAATCATCCCGGGAAAAGTATGACAGCATTTGTGGCAGTGGCAACGCGTAGGGGCTGCATGGGGTGCAAGTGTACCCCCGGATCGGACGCGCTCTCCACTTAGGTGATGGGCGGGGGGGCAGGTGGGAGCGCCAGTGCCCTCCCTGCAAGCGCCGGCTGGGGCATGGGAGCGCCAGATGTAGCGCCACTTCTGGGACTGCTGCGGGGGACCCCTCCACCCCAGTCAGCAAGACTGGCCACAGGGGACCTCCTCCCAGTCACTGACCAGTCACTGGGGGGCATTTGCCCCTCCCAATTACTGTGGCACCAGTCACCCATGACTTGTGGTCAGGGGCGCCAATGGGCTGGACATTGTGATGAACCTTAACCCTTATTCAAATGCTGCCCATACCCTCTTTGGTTTGGGTTTTTGCCTCAGCATTCCCTAGCCCAGCCAACTGAGTTTTAGTCAATCAGGTTTAAGCAGGCCTCCCATACTGAGGCCAGGGAATATACAGCCAGAGATGCTCATTAAACCTTTTATTTCGCATTCCACTCCACAATCAGTGCTTCCTCTGATTGCCAATAGGTGTTTAGACCAAAGAAACCTTCCTTGGCCAGCGTCTGTGGAGATTAGGCTCGTTCCCTATACTTTTACCCTTCCTATACAGCGGGCAAGACTTTTCTCATCATCCCAACTGGACTGATTGTGATGGCCTGATCCAGTCCTGTGACCAGAAACTTAAATACTATGTTTGCTTAAAAGAATATGCAGCTCCTCTCTCTGCTGACGAGCTGTAATCCTTTGAAGGGGAATGTGTAACTGGTACAACAATCCACGGTGACAATGGTTCCAACAGCCAGCACAACAATAAGGGGATGTAACATCGAGTTTAACACTCCAGCCGTCTTGAGAGACCAACCCAGCATGCTTTCCCACCAGCTATATTTACCTGCCTGTTTAGCTTCAGATAGCACCTGAGTGATTTCCTCTGCAGCATGATGGTGTGACAGGAGTATCACTATCGGAGCCTCTGTGAGCGTGACTCCGTCCTCCTGTAATGGGCCAACCGCCTGCTTACTCACCTGCCATGCCTTGGTCTTAATTAATTAATTGATTGGTGTAATCAGTGGGAGGCTGCCCATTTTATGCGCCCCGGTGCCAGGGGGCACTACCTGTGGCTCCTTTCCTCCCCTACACCGCAGCCCAAGCCTCTCAGATGGAACTGATGTGGTTTGACCTGGGCCCTGTTATGCTTTGGCCCTCTCCTTTCCTTCTGGGGCTCCTCACCACCCCATCTCTCGCTCTAGGGCCTCATTGCCGCCCCCTCTTTTGCTCTGGGGCTGGGGTCAATGCACCCCCCCAAACCACTGCACCCTTTCTGACGCCAGGGTCCCCACGCTACTGTGGAGCTCCTATGAGGCCTCCTCCAACCCCTAATAGCCTCACCCGGTCCTCCGGTTAAAACAGTAAATACAGAACTTAAAGCCCCTAGGCTATAACGTAAAACTACACTGTCCGGTCAAACAACATTCTATTCCTACCGGGAAACTACTCCAACTCACGGCCGCAACCAGGGTATGCTCCTGCAGTCTATCTTCTGCTTTGTCTCTGCTCTGGCCAAGCTCCCCGCTCCTTGGCCGCCAGAGGGGAACTGCCCTCCTGGCCTCATGCCTGGGTTTAAGGAGGGCCAAGCCCTGCCCCTTCCTGTCAGCTGGTTCCCTTGGTTGCCCTAGCAACCAGCTCCTGTGCTGCCCTGGTGACTGACAGTTGAGCCTCCCCCTTCTCACCACTAGGGGTCTTTCCTGAGCCATTTACTGCTTTCAGGCGTAGGGCACCCGAGTGCTCTGCGACAGATGGACACTGATATATGCCTTCTAGCTCCTTCAATAACCTGATTAATTTGAGCCTGCACCTCTGGATGTTGTAACAAGTTTCATAACAGCTGGGGTGATATTCCCAATGCAACTGGTTTTAACTGTTGATTTCCACATACACCATATACCATAGTAAATCTCTGCTGCACAGTTTTCTTTCTGGCATAATTAATATTATACCTTGTTACAGTAATAAAACCATACATCACTATTGCTAATATTGGCCCAAACATTAATGTTGGCCCAGCCAGATGTGCCCGTTCACATAAGTTTTTAACCTCCTTACAGGACCATCACCTATCGCAGGGCGTACACATCCCCACCAGGGGTAATGCCTTGCTAGACTTGGTACTGGCCATGGGGATGACTTGGTGGGGGATATGCAGGTACAAGGTAACCTAGA